CCCCCCGCCTTGGGATAAGACAGGAATGTGCTCTCAGATAAATGGTACAATTTGGTCAAACACAGGGGCCAAGGATCTGAAATATAAGATGCAACTGTCACGTTGAATTATTTTGTTGCAAACAAGCTTTGGAAACCTAGTCCCATGACTGCTGGAGTCTGTGGAAATTAACAGTGCGGTTTCTGTGGGGACAGAACTCTAAATTGGTTCTGGAATCAACGGGGTAGTTGTCAAATTGGCCTGAAAGGCAGTTCTAGAAATAAAGAGAAGCTCTGAGTTTGACTTGTATTATTTTGTAATTTCCTTAGCTTAAGAACATGGGTATCTAAGACATAGAAAACAGAACTTGGGTTGGTTTTCCAGGTGGGTTGGAGCTTGCAACTTGAATTCGAATAATTCATGTGGGACAGATGCCTTAACAAGCCCCCAGGTAGCGTGCAGCCATAAAGCGCCATCTGAAGTGAGTCTGCGCTAAGGCAAGTTTGACTCTTTCTTTTTTTCTGTTTGTGATTTACAGAGGGATTTTTATTGAGGGTCTCTCCTGTGTTCTGGACGGAGTGTTTGGGACAGGGAATGGATCCACTTCTTCCAGCCCCAACATCGGTGTCTTGGGCATCACAAAGGTATGTGCTTTACCTTGATCACTCAGTAGCTTGAGTATTTTATCTCCTCTGGTGGATGGCTTGTGCCCTTTTCGTGTTTCGCAGCATGAGCCTCTTCCAGGAAACCATACTGCGTAGTCCTTTGTGCCGACAAACTTCACCCAGCATTCTGAAATTACCTAACTTGCCCGCACCAGCCGTTGTCTAATGCAAATGCATTCTAAATAAGGACATCAAAAGTCTTATTTTTATTTGGAGTAAAGGGCAGTTAGAAAACCTACGTAGAGGAGGTGATGCTAAATAAGCCATCCCTTTGAAAACCAAGGCAGCATTCCAGGGCTCTGGGGTGTTTTGAGTTCGGGCATGAACACTGTAAACTGTATAGAAATGGATCTGAAAGCACCTCTAGAAAATTGATGATTATTGTCTTGATTGAACACACAATGAAATGCAAATCGAGGTCCTTGGGTCTTATCTACGTTTGTACTAGGACGTCACACTGACATACTAGAACAGGAGCTGCAGTCAAGGTAACTCTAAAGTTAGATGTACCCTACGCATTTGTTTCTGTCATGATAGGTTTTTTAGGCACTCAGCATGCTTAGGGGATTAAATATTTTTTGGAGTGTTACTCAGCAAAGTGTATAAGCACTTGAGGCATTTCTTTGTTCACATGCTGAACTGGGAGACCTTGGCCTGCAGATAGATTTGCTTGATATGGCTAATTTAACCTTGTTAAGAAATACCAGCAAAATTGGTAAGAGTAATTTATGTTGTAAATCCGTACATCTTGTTTCATATTTTGCTTGGAAAGCCATAAATCTACTTCGTGCCTGCCAGATAGAAAATGTATGCTCCCCACTTAAAATAACTCATCCCTCTGACTTAATCCAATATAGATGATGAATTTATCTTCAGCCATTTTTTCTCCTGCACAAAGGCTGATTCTGTTCGGTTTTAGGGTGGAATATAAATACGAACAGCACCATCTGCTGTCTGTGTAAGGCTTCCATTCAGCTGCTGATGGAAATTTCCCAGAAGAAATTTTAGTTAGAAAAATCCTTAAAGAAACGTTTATTCTGTTCTGCTCCCTTTCTGTTGTTACTTCGTAGGACTTGATATGAATTAACAGCATTTTTTCTTATTAACAGTCCACAGAAGTCAGTGTACATTTTGCTTTGAAATGGCAAAAAATTAATGTTAAACTGGCAGCTGCTACAGAGAACAGTTGACTACAGTTGGGTCTGTTCCGAGCACGTGGTGGAAGAGTGAATATGCCTTATCCAGCATGGCACAGCTGGATGGCTGTGCTCCAGTGTTTTGCCTTCTTTTCCTGACTGCATACTCATACCTAAAAACCTAGTGGTTTTTCAGCTTCAGTTTATATCAAAGTAGATTTTTGACGTGTAGATACTTTGCTTTTTATTTGGGAGAGTGCTCATGAGCAAAGACTACATAGTCCTGGTGATCCTGTTATACCAGTGCAACGTTTGAAAAGGCGTTCACCTGCCTTGGAATATATAGAGAGTGTACGATTACTCTTAAAATTTAAATTTGAGGCTTCAACTGGATGTAAATATTGCAAAGTCTTCGAGCTAGTCTGTGAGCAAGTTTATTTGATGAGAGGAGAATCAATTAAATCTGATCAGTTTGGGCAAAAGTATAGGCAGCTTATGCCATAATGTTGATGATGCAATGGATGCTCCAGTAAGGTACTGGGTGCCTTATCATGCACTCCAAAATAATCACATAAAGTGTGTGTATGGCTGCCTGGGAATAAATATGCAGTTTGAGTTACATGCTGACCAGGATGCTTTCAGTAGCTTTCAAAAGGAGCTTAATTTATTTGCCTTGTAGTGATTGAGCATTTGCATAAATAAATGTCGCTATCGTGCGGCTTTTTTAAAGAATTTGCCTATTTCATGCAGGAAGATAATTTTAGAGCAAGATACTGGTGGTCCTAAGGAAATGAGTATCTTTATACAAAGCCGAGAAAGGTGCACGCTAACTTGTGTTGTTGCTGTAGTGAACACCCTAATTTCCTGGGCCAGTGTCTGTTTGTGGTGCATACATCTCACCTGACAGTTAAGCAGTGAAGAATGTGGGGGAAGGAAGTACTTTCACCCTACACGTGACTACTGCATCCTTTTTTTGCGTTTCACTCATTTAGCCCAGTCACACACGATTAACAAATTAATATCTACTTCTCTTTGAAGTTTAATACTCTGTAGCGCGAGACCTACGAAGGGCTTTACTAGACACCACCTTACCAGCCTAACGGGTTTTTTTGTCCCTGGTGCACCTCTTATGCAAGTACAACACTGTTAAAATATTGACCATTCAGGTTTATCAACTGCCACTGCAACACGGTGCCAGAGAAATACCGCCCGAAGTCTGAATGCTTTAAAATAAAACCGGGAAGGAAGTGCAGGCGCTTGGTTTCACAGCGTTTAGCACAGCCATGATTTGCATATGGAGGGAGTTCAGTTCTGATCTCGGAGGGATGTTATAAAATCGGTTCATAATCTCTGTCTAGAAAGCCTGCGTCTCCTTCAAGTGAACTGCGTGGTCGGTACTTAATACATAATATTTGTGTGTAAAAGAGCAGCGACACATGGATTTTATTATTTTTTCCATTTGCATTCCGATTGATCCATTTGCCAATGGTTACAGTCTGTTTGTTTTCTTTATTGTAGGTGGGACTACACCACATTTCATGGTTATTGTGGCTATAGCAGTTACAGATGGTTTTAAAGATGACTTAATGTTAACGAAAACAAAATCAGCCGAAGTTATGTTAGAATTGGAGGGCAGCCATGTTACAGCTGAGCCCTCCAAGCCCTTTGTAAAGGCTCTGCAAGCCAGTGTTTTAACGCCACCCAAAAAACATGCATGGAAGCTTGAAAAGAAGTTTTAAATGTGAAAGAGCGTAATAAAATGAAATGCAAGTTGTGAAGTTGGCCTTTTTGTTCTCCTGCAGGTTGGAAGTCGTAGGGTTATTCAGTATGGGGCAGCCTTCATGCTCTTGCTTGGGATGGTTGGCAAGTTCAGTGCGCTCTTTGCATCGCTGCCTGACCCCGTGCTTGGTGCCCTCTTCTGCACTCTCTTTGGTAACGTATGTTTTTCTGCTCCTCTTTGTGTACTGTGTGGCTGTATCTTTTCGCTCCAGTGCTGTGTTTACGTGTATGTTGCTGTCTTTTGGGGGTTTTTTTTTGAAGAAAAAGACTATATAAAAGCTGAGACTTTTTTTTTTTTTTAATTTTTATTTAGGGATGATTACAGCCGTGGGTCTGTCTAACCTCCAGTTCATAGATTTAAATTCTTCTCGTAACCTGTTTGTACTCGGATTCTCCATTTTCTTTGGACTTGTCCTTCCAAGCTATCTCAAACAAAATCCACTGGTCACAGGTATGTGTTTCTGCTCCTTTCCACAAAGCATGCTTTTACCTTGTACTCACAAGCAAAGTACGTACAAGTACAAGGTAATGTAAAGGGTGAACAAGAGAAAAAACAAAGTATTGTGGAGACAATAAAAACTACGGAGAAGAAGGCAGGAGTGTTCAGAGGAGAATTAATTGAGATGCAAACTGAATGCATCTGCATTCTCTGGATATGATGGTAGAGCAATGGAAGGAGGTGATTGCAGTTGAAAGGGTGAAAAGAAGGACTAACAGGGTGAATCCAAGTTGTAAATAATGTTAAATGAATAAGGGGAAATATCAAGGTGGAGCTTGGACACTAGGAATTTGTTTGGGGTTTTGGAATTTTTTTATCGTTGCAGACATGTGTTGTGGATCTGAATTTTAATAAACTCTGTTTCAGACTGTTAACCAGATTATGGTTTTGGTGAATTCATGGAGGAGGTTTTCTAGGTAATACTGCCTTCTCAATAGGGGTCATGACAGTGTATGTCGTCAAAGCAGGACTCTCTACAGGCATACTTAATTTGTTTGGGTTTGGTTGGGTTTTTCAAAAAAGGAAATATTAACTAACTTTTTATAGCTGTCACTTGTTCAGAAAAGTAGATGATTCAAGCAGAGTTAGGTGATGATACAGAGTTCTTCTGTGCATTGGTGCCATGAAGGTCTTGCCCTTTTAAAAAGGTTTAAAGGTTTATGAAAGAAATTATTTCGGTCCACATGATTTCACACTGCAAACATTTCTCCTTTTCCATTTTGTAGTTTTCTGTTTAGTTTAAAACAAGCAGTAGAAAGTAAAATGGCATTTCGTGACTCTTTATAAGCAACTGAAAGTTCATGGAGCTACATTTTGGGAAAGAACGCATCCCCATGGCGGACTATGTTAGGTGAAGGTTTTTCTGCATCTGTTTCCAGATGCGTCGTGTTTGAGCAAATTCCTCAGTGAACTCAGCAGCAACTTTTCCTAGTTGACCTGCATGTAAATCTGTAGGATGTGTATATGTACAATAAAAATTCAAATTCTAAGGTGTTTTTTTTTTTTCCTCTAGGAATAGCGGGCATTGATCAAGTATTAAACGTTCTTCTCACTACAGCCATGTTTGTCGGTGGCTGCGTTGCATTTATTTTGGATAATACCATTCCAGGTCAGCATGTGAACTTGTTATTTGATCTGAAATAATAACTGCCTTTCTGAATGAAGATTGCACAGCATTTTGTGGAGGCAGGAGATGAGGAAGAGATTACTGCCTTGTTGTGACTTCTGTAACACCTACAGCAGAGTGCTTAACACCTGCTTGCCTCAGTTTCCTTGAGAACGCTTTGAATCTTTCTCAGGTTAAGGTCTCCATCCTATTAAACGTATAAAATAGCTGATAAAAATCAAACCAGAATAGTCTTCTTCAGAAGACAGAGTAAAAATCTTTTTAAGATGCAAACCTGCTTTCATTCATTTGAGAGGAAAAATTTGCCTTGACTTCCAGTTAAAATATAAACCAGATACTAGCCATTGCCAGTAAACATTTTTTTCCTTCTTCCTGCCTTTTTGAGGAGTCTGGAAGATCTTCCCAGTGCTTTACTGAGCGTGGTGTCTGAGACTTGGGGTTTTCTTTCTTCTCTTAACCTCTGCTACGTTTACACAGAGATAATCATGTATGGGGTTTTTTTTTTTTCCCTTTTTCTTGCATTTTGATTTCTAGGAAGCCCTGAAGAAAGGGGAATACGGAAATGGAAGAAAGGGGTTGGTAAAGGAAGCAAGTCACTGGACGGCATGGAAACGTACGATTTGCCTTTTGGCATGAACTTTATCAAAAAATACAGGTGTTTCAGCTTCCTGCCCATCAGCCCGACCTTCATGGGTTACACGTGGAAAGGCTTCAGGAAAAGCAGTAACTGCAGGAGTTCAGATGAAGACTCAGAAGCTACAGTATAGCCTTAGCTGAAATTCTATTATCTAGTTGTAGTAAAAGATGTATTTGCAGTTTCTTGCTGATTAAGAAGCATTAAAATATATGTTTTGTATATCTGCATTTAAATTCTGGAACCAGAGCTGAGACGGATTTTAAAAAAAAAAAAAAAAAAAAAAAAAATTCAAATACACTTTGCCAGTTGTAGTGTCTCTGGGTCAGATTTGCAAATGCTCCCCTTTGATTTTCCAAAAGCTATAGGTACCTGCGCGCCTGAGCCCGTTTATTTTAAATGAGGCTTAGGTTCTGGAAGTCTGTAGGTGCTACTGAAAAATGTTACTTTTTAGGGTGATTTTATTTAAGTCACTGATGCTGGCGTTTTTGGCGCATTCATTGCTGGCAATGTTAGTCACGCCAGAAAATCTGAATCCTGTGGGAAGGTGGGGCAGGGTGGGGAAACTACTTCTAGTCATGTCAAGTCCCATATGTGTTGTTTTCTGCTCACTGATTTGCACATTCCATTGTTTCAGCCCCCTGGAAACCAGACTCAGCTGATACTGGCAAATCATGAGAGTATTTTTTTGAATTACTGGTAGTTCAGTCAGCTGTCCGGTGTTGAGACAGAAAGTCTGTATGAAGACTATGACCGACTTTTGATAGTTTAGTGCTGTAGAAGGAACCACGTACTTCAGGTCAGTTCACATTTTTAAACGTTTACTTTTTCTGCCTGGCCTTTAACCGCCCAATTACAGTGTCCAGGTGCAGGTTCTCTTAAAAGACACATGTGTACTTTGAATTTTAGAGGTGGGAGACTTTAAACTTCCAGACGGGACCCGATAACAGTTTTGGCAGTGCAATGCCTGTATCCAGCAAGACGTTTCCCGCTAATCTGTTGGGCAGCTCTAAGCAGTTAACACTTGTGTACATGCAGCTCCCTGCAGGGAAATCCACGCGGTCAAGACGCTGCCGGCGTTTGCTGGTTTGGGTCTGGGCAGAGTTTTCTCGATCGGATGTCGAGAGCTGACGCTGCCTACGAGCGGTTTGCATTGCGTTGCCTCTTCTCTCTCTCGGTGGGGCTTCTGCAAAAGCTGGTTCCTGCTGCGGGAGGCATCCTGAACGGCAGAGACACTACACTTGGTGTCCTCATCCACTGGATGGGTTAACGGGTATTGGGTCCGATCAGGGCACCATTCAGATTTTTTTTTTTTTTTTTTTCCCTGGAATAGTCTCAGCTCTGACGTTATGTGGGTGTTCATGCTCATCATGCATTCATAATTAAAAGTTTTCTTCATGTTTAATGTTCTTACTATTGCAAGTTAGTTTTAGACTTCAGTGTGGCCCCAAAAGCATTTTTAAGCTGTGGAGATCATCAGGGAAATGTAGTGTAATGTAATTTCAAGGCCAGTATGCTCTACGGTGCTTGCGTTTTGTATTCCTGGAAAAAACATAACAGTAGATCCTGTAACTCACTAATATATTTATCAAAGTTTGACTACTGGACAGGAGCGCAGGAACTCTGTTTTCTCTGAGTCTGCTTCCAGGTGAATTTGTTGTTGGTTGTTGAAGCATGGAAGGGTTGGGGTGGGGAGGGCAAGGAAAGAGCTTAACGGATCAGTACTGAATAGTGTAGAGTCGGAATGATTCCATTGATAGCGTTCTCAGCATGCCATGGCTGTTTCCAGAAACTATTTTATACCGCTTTTTCCATAACAAAGCATGCGTTCGTTCCTGCTTCAGGGAACTTTCAGTAGTTTGCAGTCTTGGTGTCAATTGGACTATCTCGAAAGCTGGTCGGAAGAGTTATTGTGTAGTAGACAAGGTTAGTTTGCCTGTGAAATGAAGTCATTTTTATTATTTTTACATTTTTCCTCTTCAGGTAGCGAGGTGTTAGATTTCCACATCCACTTGCAGATAGTTTGAGTGCGGAGACCTCTAATCAGTGGCACGAAGCTTCCAAATTTCCCAACTTTATGTGCAACCAAAGATGTGTAGGAGACATGGGGGAGTTAAATATATATATAAATATATATATATAAAAAAGGAAAAAAAAAGCCACCTATGTATGGTGGTTGTAATGATGTAAAAAGCCAAAGTTGGTTATCTTACAAATGTTGAGAAAGGGAGGCAAAAGGGTTGTTTTTTGTTTGCCACCTCAGAAATACTGAAATGTCAAGTCCAGTGATGCTGCTGGGCACGGAGCGCAGCAGCGCACCTGTGTCCCGAGGCTCTTCTAACTTCTCCCCCCAAATACTCTTTTGATAACTTCAGTGCTTTCGCAGTCAAGAGACGAGGCGATGAGAAACAGCATTGGTCCTCTCTCTCCTTTGGCCGTGCGTGTTCTGCGTTGCCTTCACTCGAGAATTGCCAAGATGCTTCAGCCCAATTCCAGGGCAACGAATCCGAGGGTATTTTTTTTTTCTTCTTCCCAGAGCAGAACACAAGCAGCGTAGGAAAGACAATCCGAGTAGGTGAAGTCCAATCGCTGGGTTTAACTGTTGGATTTGATTCTTTTCATGACTTTGGGTCCTACCGTGCCAATTCTGTGGACTGGCTGGGAGAAGTGCAGTAGCGTTGAGCCAGCCCGTTTGCTTTTCTGGCCACTTGGTAACACTAAAACGAGTAGTTGTAGTTAGCAGTTCATTTTGGTAACCGAATTTGTATATGTAACAACTCTCTCCATCTTATTACGAACATGAATGGTTAAAGCTGAGCCTCAGTTTTGCAAAGGAGATCTGCTGAAGCACCTGTACTGATGGCGAAGGGTTGCGATGGAGGCGCTGGCGGTACCTTGAAGGCAGAGGGCACGCAGCTGCTGCGCCCGGGCCATCGCTGTTACAGCGGGTGGCTGAGAGGTGGGCGAAGGGCGGAGGTGAGGCACGGGTGCCTTGGAAAGAGAAGCTCCCCTTTCTCTTTCCGAGGCAGCTGGAACCGTCCCAGAGCTGCCAGCCGAAGAAGACACCGCGTTTTGCTTTGCGAGGGAAATAACTCCAAATTGCCCCGGTTTCGTGCAGGCGCGGCAGGCGATGGTGACCCTTCGATCCTTCTCCCACGTCCGCTTTCCTACGCGGGCCGTGTCGCGGCTGTCGTGACGTGCCCTGGCCGGGGGCAGCACGGCGTGCAGCCCGAGCTGCTGGCAGATGTGTTGCAGAGGATTCACTTGCAGTTTTGAAAAGCGTTTCAATGCTTCGTGTTTGCTGGTTACGTCCAGGCTTTGATGCGTGAGGGTGGCTGGGTATCGAAATCTGACTGTGAATGCGAGACTGGGTTGTTCCTGTATCTGTCATTGCCTGCCTTTCGAACAGCTGAACTAAACACAGCCACGTAGGGAAGGCGACACCTGAGAGGTGGGTTAAGAGGCGATGAGACGTTTCAACCAGACTTTAAGACGGAAGGGCAAATATTCATGGTAGAAATATCATTTTGTCATATCAAAGATGGTATCGATGTATGCAAGACAAAATAACTTGGGACTTTTGTAATTGCTATTCTATTGTATTTTTTTTTTTAGGTTAAATTAAGAATTCTTGCTAACATGTTGAAACACGTTTTCTAAAGCAAATACTTGCAAATTATACCTATAGAAATTTAGGTTTCATAGCTAACAGCTATGACTGATTAATGTTGTCATATTAGAGTGCGTTGGCGGAGGAACTTTAATCAGGTACCTCGCTCAGAAAGTTCAAACTTTAAACCCAGAATTTGCTTTATGCCTTTTAATACTGACTTTAAATATGGCAACTTGGTTTGTACATGAATATTGCAGTATTTTATTTCCATATATTAAAAATAACATTTCCACTCAGGATAATGATCGCAGTTTTCCTGGGAGGGAGTGGTATGATTGTCATGACAATGTCATGTGATGGTAGAATTTCTTCATTGACGAATCTATAGTAGTTGTGTATACTTTATTTACCCATGTTTATGTTCCTACCAAAAACTAAAGGGTTTCTTTATTGTTCATCTCCCTACTGAGATCTTGGTACTCCCGATGCAGAATTGGCGCTTGCAAACTGAAATCCTCAGTACTGTTTGTACCACAAGGAGCATCAGCGAGTGCGACCGGTCATTTATAGCATTGCATCCTGAATAAAAAGTGTTGAAAAATCACATCATTTGTGGTCTAAACAGCACTCCAGGCACACATGGTTCAAAGTAGCCGGCTTCTAATGGTTTGAGTGAGCCATTGGATGCTTACCCGCCATCGACAACAACCTGTGCTTGACATAACTTGTATATCCATGTAGAAAATGCATGTGTGACAGACCAGCACGACCTACGGTGTTTCTTTTACGTGGCCTTCTTAAACCAAAAGCGACTTTTTTTCTTTCTTTTATTTTTTCAAGGGGGAGGGGGGGGCATGATGGGTCACTCATTTTTGCCGAAAATGTCCCACTTGGTGCATGTTTCTTAGTACTTCTTCAAGCTAATGGCCTCTGCGGCCGTGGGGCGACAGGTACTCTGTGCTCTCGTGTTGATCTGGCTGCGATAGGGCCCTGCAGTATTGGAGGAGGCCACGAGTTTGCCAGTGTTTCGCTTCTGCCCATGAGTCTATACAGCGTAGTGCTGGGCTGCTTTTATGTACTGGGGGTCCGTGTTCGGAGCCATCCCAACTATTCCTGTCTAGTTCTGATTTGACTGTGACTGTGCATTGTCATCCGTACATATTGATATGAGAGATATATTTAGAATTGCCTTGTGTACTATGGCATTTACTACATCTTTCCAGGTAAATCATCTTGCTGCCAGTCCAAATTATTGTACTTTGTCTGTTTATAACAACCTTTGGCGTAACAAACTATTGACTGTTCTTAGGCAGTGGGGATAATTTTTTTTTTTTTCCATGACTTTTCGTGACTGACTTTGGCTGTAAAACTGTTTTTGTTAAACAGCAAGAGGTTTTTTGGGTTTTTTGTTTTTTTTTTTTTTTTTTGTTCCAAGTGTTGTTCTTTTATGGAGTTGTTTTTTTTTTTCTTTTTTTTTTTTCCTAACATTGCTTCATTAAACAATTAAATATTTAAAAATGTAATATTTGGACCAGATGTTGTGAATAATAGTAGATAAAGCTATTTTATTCTGTATTTTTAAAGCTGTTCAGTATAAATAAACGCGGGCATAGATGCAACCTGGCAGCGTGGTGTTACACTTCCTTTGAA